CCTCCCGGGTTCAAGCAATTTTCCTGCCTAAGCCTCCCAAATAGCTGGGACTATAGGCACACGCCACCGTGCCTGGCTAAGTTGTATTTTTAGTAGAGATGGGGTTTCACCATGTTGGCTGGGATGGTCTTGATCTCTTGACCCCTGACCTCATGATCCCCCTGCCTTGGCCTCCCACAGTGCTGGGATTACAGGCGTGAGCCACCATGCCTGGCTGCATTTAACTTTTTAAACCATTTACAAATCACTTTCTCTTTGTGATATTTTGGTTTTTGTGGGATTTCTTTGTTTTTGTTTTTTTGAAAGAGTCTCACTCTGTCGCCCAGACTGCAGTGTAGTGGCGTAATCTCGGCTAACTACAACCTCTAACTCCTGGGTTCAAGCGATTCTCCTGTCTCAGCCTCCCAAGTAGCTGGGATTGCAGGCATCTGCCACCACACCCAGCTAATTTTTGTATTTTTAGTAGAGACAGAGTTTCACCATGTTGGCCAGGCTGGTCTCAAACCCTTGGCCTCCCAAAGTGCTGGGATTACGGGCATCAGCCACCAACACCCGGCCTCTTCCCACAGCTTCTTGACAGATTAATAGAGACTTGATTATATTAACTCTGGAGCTTTATTGTTCTGCATATTTTGTACTTAAACCAAATAAACATTCCATAAAACCAATTTTTCATTTTTTCTTGACAGATCTCTTACAACCTTGGGGTTGGTTATATCATCACTGGCTGACCAGGCAGCTGGCAAGGGTAAAAACAAATTTGTGCCTTACCGAGATTCAGTCCTCACTTGGCTGCTTAAGGTAATCCATTGCTCTGGTGTTCTTTTCCAACTAAAAGTTGGCTATTCCAGATGTGACAGAGTAAAGGTGTGTACAAAGCTTACCAAATACCTAAAGAACTCTCCTGATGACAGTTATTCTAATTCCTAGGAACACAGAATGAAAACTATTTTCTACTCCTTTTTATTCCATTTGAATGCCGTTTGACAGGCATTATTCATTGCTTGAATATGGAGAGGACACATTTCATCTTGTCTTGACATTATTTGTGAAATGCCAGTCCATTTCCACATAATGTTTCCTTCATAGAGAATAATGTCATACATAACACGTTTAGTGCTTTTATCATATGTGTTGTCCATGGAGTGGGCTTCCTAAAATGCTGTTTGAAATACTTGGCAGGACAATTTGGGGGGCAACAGCCAAACCTCTATGATAGCCACAATCAGCCCAGCCGCAGACAACTATGAAGAGACCCTCTCCACATTAAGATACGCAGACCGAGCAAAAAGGATTGTGAACCATGCTGTTGTGAATGAGGACCCCAACGCAAAAGTGATCCGAGAACTGCGAGAGGAAGTCGAAAAACTGAGAGAGCAGCTCTCTCAGGCAGAGGTAAAAGCAGCCTGGTGCTCCCTGCTGGTAAAGTTCCCTGGCTTGCGGGATTTGACTGGCAAGGGTGTGCTCATTTGCAGTTGCAGGTCATCTGATATGGTTTGGATTTGTGTCCCCACCCAAATCTCATGTCGAATTGTAATCACCAGTGTTGGAAGAGGGGCCTGGTAGGAGATGATTGGATCATGGGGGTGAACTTCCCCCTTGCTGTTCTCGTGATAGTGAGTTCTCACCAGATCTGGCTGTTTAAAAGTGTGTGCCACCTCCTGTTTCACTCCCTTCCTCCTGCTCATCGTGTAGGATGTGCCTGCTTCCCCTTCCACCATGACTGTAAGTTTCCTGAGGCCTCTCCCCAGCCATGCTTTTCATACAGCCTGAAACCCCTTTTAAACCATGAGCCAGTTAAACCCCTTTTCTTTATAAATTACCCAGTCTCAGGTATTTCTTTATAGCAATGTGAGAACGGACTAATACATCATCTCAATGTGGTTCAGCACTTCATTGTTTATTGGCATCTGCCAAATGCTAAGCATTGTGAAGACCAACATGAGTAATACAAGACTTCTGTCCTAGGAACTTATAGTCATGGAAACAAACAAATAAGAGATAATTCCTGCTACTACCTGATCATTTACTTCAGTAAATCAGTTGGCCTTTGAACTTTCAGTGGGAAAGTATGTTGTTTATATTAACATTATAAACTATTATTTCCACAGGGCCTTGCAGTTTTCAGGGAATTTAGTTAGGTATCATCTCCTTCTTAAGCCATGGAAATAGCATGATCAAAGATAATTAAACATTAGGAATAATTCAGAAATCTTTTACTTTTCCATTTATATCAGGCCCTGACAGGAAACAAAATCTTTTTGCATTGTTTATCTTCTTTCTTTGGCTTTACTCAAACTTTAATAATGATACTCTTCCAAATAGGTGTTGCTTTTTACAAATTATTGGGCGAGGCACTGTCTTATTTGAAATATGTAAGAGGACAGCTTTGGAGGCCAAGTGCCTTAGTTTAAGTCACAGGGTTCCACATGCCAGGACTTGGGAGTGTATCTGTCACTTCTAAGTTCGCATTCCTTCACCACTCTCTTCTGACCCCACTGTAGTTGGGAGGGTATTAAGTTGTAAGAAAAAAGGAAAGAAAAACACAGTTAATGGCCATTGTTTATGGAACATTTACATGCCAAGCACTATGTTAATACTTTTATCCATCAGCATATTTCATCAAAAAGTATTCAATAGAAGACTGAAAAAACAAAAAGGTGAAGCCAGGAGTCTGAATACTCTATTAATTGGTGATCTTGGCATTGCATTGTAATTGTTTGTTTATATATCTTTCGCTTCTTCCAGGCTGTGGCTCTTAAAGTACAAGATGCTGCGTTTTATTAATTTTTTTATCCCCAATCCCTAGCCTAACATTGATACTAGAAAGCACTTACCACAATACCTTGCACATAGTAAGTGCTCAAT